GGAAGGAAGGAAGGAAGGAAGGAAGGAAGGAAGGAAGGAAGGAAGGAAGGAAGGAAGGAGACACATTAGCAGTCATTCCCCAGTAAGCAAAGTAATGAGCAAAGTTTCAACAATTCATTTCACATATTTGCCAATTAAGACAGGGAAAAGTACTCAGCGCCAGTACCACTTACTGTTTCATAATTAATTAATCAATTCAAATGTATAAGGCAGAGGTGCCAAACTCAAGGCCCGTGGGCCAGTGCTTAGATCTGGCCCGCAGGGCCGCCCTGAAAACAGCAAGGACTGGCCTGTGGTGCCTCTGCCAGTGAAAACGGAGCTCGGGAGGGCAGCCCTCCCAAGTTCCGTTTTCACTGGCAGTGGGTTGCAGGAAGCCGTTGCAGCCCAAAACGGAGCTCGGGAGCTTGTTTTCACTGGCCAAGCACTTGGGCTGCCACAGGCGCCGTGACACAAGTGACGTCGAGCTGGCCCTGCCCAATCTGCCCACCCCAGCCTCCTGAGGTCAAACACAACCCTGATGTGGCCCACAATGAAATGGGGTTTGACACTCCTGGTATAAGGTCACTCAATCCACAATTCTGAACAGTATACAAATTAAAAACACAACCCAAAATAATAGCTTAATTTGTTTATAAAAAAAGTAAAAGGACTATAACCAGTAGAAATTGATAAACATTTAACACAGTCTCATTCAACCCATCTAAGCCAGAGCATGAATAAAAGTCAGATCTTCAAGGCTAGTTTATAGGTTAGCAGGGTTGAACCGTTCAAAGCTCTGGAGGAATACCATTCCAGAAGGCAGATGGTATGAAAGGGAAGGCATGCCTTTTCCATCCCATCAGAAGAAATGGTTTAATCGAGGGCACCCAAAGCACACTTTTTTTTTTTGCACATCTTATAGGATTAGGGGAAACAAAGGTAAAAATGTAGTCTCTCAGATAACTAGCCCTTATATCATGAAGGGCTTTTCAGGCGACAACCAACACGTGCATAGAACACTATAAACGATGTATAGTATGAGCAAATTGCAGCATCTCAGTCCCACCCCCCTCAAAAAAAAAGCCATTTGGATTCAGAATCTGCATAACAGGATTTTCCATTGTTCACCACTCCCGAACAAGACGTGTCATTGATGAGCAGGTGTGGCAACAGAAGAAGTGAGTAGCAGTGTTGTGGAACTTTCTTTCTTCAGGGCTGGTTCCAATGGATGAGGAGGAGGTGAGGAGATCTAGCCCCAGACCCTTTTTGTGTGGGGTCCTGCAGGGTTCTGTACTCTCCCTTCTCCTATTTAGCATCTATATGAAGCTGCTAGGTGAGGTCTGGAATTGGGTGAGTACTGTTAATAGCCGTTCAGCCTTGGTAATTTCCTGAGCAAACTAGATACACCCTACATGGAGCTATCCTCGAATGTCACTTGAAAGCTACAACTGAATTCCAGAATTCAACAATGTAAGCAGCTGCAGGTGTACCTTGCCCATGTACACCACTGTTTTGTGAGTTGCTCCTAATGCACATCTGAGATGGAACTCAAAGAGCTATTTGTCATGTATAAAAGTCTACATGGGACTAATATATGCAGGACTGGCTCTTTCTAGGTTGGTCCATTCCTCTGCATCCTAAAGATGTACTCTAGGTCCTTATATATTAAGCCTTAATATTGTAGAGATTAGTGGAGACTCAACTCTGCTGGCCTTTTGGAAGTTACTGAAGACTTGGGTGTTCCCCCGGGCAAGGGGTTTGGAGATTAGAGGAGCCCATCATTGCAAGTTCTTATCATCAGAGCTCAGTTTGTCTTCGGCGGCCATTATTTTTCTAATGTTGATTATGTTCTGTTTCATGTGCTTCTAACCCTATGTGCGCTGCCCAGAGCTGCAATTGAGAGACGGTATACAAATTGATACAATAAATAAATGAAAAACCAAGTGGTAGCAGTTTGTATTAGCTGAGCTACAGATGCAGGCCAACCTTCTATTGCAGTCTTTTTTTTTTTTCCTGATAAGAGATTGGCATACTGGAACTGACTACAAAAGTGCCGAGACAACGTATGTGGACAGTGTATCCAAGACTCATTGTGCTGCTGAACTCTCCTTGTACATGGAAACTTAGCTTGGCCAAGCCATGTTTTCTGTTTAAACATGCGTGCTCTGCCTGTTTAAACAATGGAATGGAACCAAGGGTCTTATCACTGCCATTTGAATCGATCTAAAACAATATCCCTTGAGTTGGTGCTGTTACTCATTGGAAGACTTTCAACCTTCAGAAAAAATACCCTGAATAACGGTCAAAAAACATCTGAAGAAAATCAGTCTCACGTATCGTAGCCTTTCTATTGCAAAGCATAGGAGGCATTTATAGGTTGAAAGATAATCAGAAGAAAAAGAGGCTTTTATTCGTAAGCTGTTCTATACGTGCAAATCAAACAAGCCTCTTTTTCAATGTGCGTTTATCTCGCAGGTTTAAAAACCATACACTTGCCAGTCTGTGCCCCATTTTCAGACATGGCAAAAATGAGAAATTTTTGTTGTTGACAAAAGTGAGGGAATTAGCCTCCTCTGGCTGTGCCTGTTGCGGAATTAATAATGCTTAGTTCCATTAAATCAGGGGGAGGGAAAAGTGAAAGAGAAAGATTGCCTTACCAGGATTGCAGTCTGTCAAGAGGGAGCAAATAGACAGCAAAACCTTTGAAATAGTCAAAGCAGGACTCCAATTGTCTTTCAGGATATCCAGACAGATGACTCCCTGACTGTTGATGTTGCAGTGATAGATTCTAGTACGGAAAGTAACCTACAGGAAGAAGAGCAACAGAAGGGAAGGGGAGAAGATCATCACACGCTTTTCAGGCATAGTTTGTTGCTACCCTTTTGAAACCTGTCTTGAATGATTCTCCCTCGGTGGGAAGATTTTTCTGTCGAGACCTTTCATTTGGGGGGGGGAGGAAAAATTGTTTGTTTCTGATGTTTGTTTACGCCTCATCTGAAAAGAGGTCTCCTCTCTCTTCTTTTGTTAAGCAGCTGCCTCATTCACAACCGCTATATACTGTATGTCTCAAAGCTAAAAGCTTTATTGTGTTTTTGTTTTGTTTTGACAAGCCTCCAGCATTTTTAATGCTTTTTGGAAACAAAAAACAAAAAAAACACCAGCCGATACATACAAACATTTGCGTGCCCTTGAGAAATAGTGGTTTCATCTGTTTCCTTGGGGCGGACAAGCGACACTGCAAGTCCCAAGACTTGTGTACTTGCATACCAAGTTGGAATGCAAAGTACAAAAGAGCAGAGTTTGTACCAGGATTTCGTCGTAATTCTGCCTGTCACCGTTTAAAGGAGCCCATGGACTATTTCCACTGTGAGCATGGGGAAAACGGCACTTAAGATACCCAGCTTTCATTTAAAACGGGGGAACGTGAGATTCAAAGTGTGGCGCTGCAGGTCTTTTCACTAGTTGTTATGATGCCCAAACTGGATGATGCATGTTTGAGAAATCTGAAGAGCAGCAGATTTGGAGAACAAAGCTCCTCTGGAACATGAGAGCCATCATGATACAGATGTCATGATTCCCCTCAATTAACCTTGGGGCTCTTGTTCTTGATTCATCTATATGTAACCTGACCGCTTTTATAAATAAGATCATCACTGAATTGTCTCCAACTGTTGGCATTTACTTTGATGAGTTTTCCAACCCAGTAGGAATATGCTCATAGAGCATGTTAGTACATTTTGAATATTGCAAAAGCAATCTTCAATGGTATCAGCTTCCACAGAAAACCAAATCTTGACTCAGGCTGCTTTCCTGAGGCTACTAAGACTCATAAAAGTAGACTACTTATTCAAAATCTGTCTGGTCAGTATACTCTACATAGACCACATCAAGATGGTCTCAAGTTCAATCTCTGAAACTTCAGTTTAACTTCAGGGATGTCAAACTCACAGCGTCACCGTGTAATTGTATTGGGCAGTGGCGAAGTGCGTGCTCACAGAACCGGTTGAAGCCCACCACTGACATTGGGACTTCCCCCCCTTTGCTAAACTGGGCATGGGCCTGACCCGCACGTGACACACCCGGCCCATGGGCCGAGACTTTGAGAGCCCCGATTTAACTCATCTTGGTGGGGGGAAAAGCCCTCTCTGATAAGTGACAGTAGGCAGTAAGGCCTAGATGTATTAAGAGCCGGCTCTGTTAACTAGGAACATATGTTCCTATAGAAGATGTATGACTGAAATTGGTTACCCTTATGTTTTGAACTACATAACGTAGTTTTGAGAAATATAGTTCTGAACTATAGGAGAATAAAATTTGGAATAGATCCCTTCCCCTTAGTTAAATCTTTCATATGGCTTAGCTTAGTGTGGCACTCACTTTTTAAGCCCTATGCTGCAGTATGGTGGGTTTCAAAGTAGTTTATTACCGGTTCAGTGGGTGTGGCTTGGTGAATGCGCTTTGCGTGTGCATGTACACACTTTGAGTACGTCCATGACAAATGTGCACTTTGCGCAGACACAGAGGGTTTCCTACTCACCTCCTGCAATCCTGCACTCTCCCTGTAGCTTCAACAGCTGACGTGCGGCAATCTGCTGTGCCGCGCAAAGCAGCTGCGCTTCAAAAGCCGGGAATAAAGGTTAGTATGGGAGCCTGGGTGGGTGGGCCCAACAGCAGCTCATCAGAGAAAACCAGTTTGGTCTCCGCTGATCTTCGGTGCTATCGGTACACCAGAACCAGACCAAACTGGTGGAATAGCAGCACTGCTCTACTGAATCTGAATTAGGAAACTCTGATGTAATGTCATTCAATAATCAAGGACACTACACCAGGACCTGACTTAATGTAAATTAGAAATCAAACACTAAAATGATGTGGAGAGAAAAGGAGGAAAAAGGCGAAGCGTTCCACCCTAATACTTTTGCCATTAAATTCTGTGGTTTGGGATAGAATCCTCAGGGCTCTCAGTTCCGTGTCATGTGCAAAACTGATGCATGTTCTGATTCCATTCATGTCATGAATAAACTCCTGAAGAGGACAGGACCCGCTGAGTCTTGGTGGCACTCTTGGTGATCCCTTCTCTACAAAGAATCAGCTCCAGGGCATCTCTAGGTCTGCCCCATTTCCAGATGTTTCAAAGAACTTACAAGTAGGAAAAGAGGGGAAATATCTGACTTTGCATTTGAGCCTTTTACAGATTTATGCCAAATGACAAGCCTTTGTGAAATTGACAGGAGATGCATATTGAGATAATACTATGGAAATTGATGTGGATTTCCCACTACCTTTTTTCATTTTTTTTAGAGAAAAAAAGAAAAAGAAATAAATCTTAATTGTTTTGGGCATGACTAGAATAATATTTTGCTCCTACCTAGAATATATTACCGTGTTTCTCATAAAATAAGACCGGGTCTTTTTTTTTTTTTTTGAGCCCCGAAAAAGCGGCTAGGCTGTTTTTTCGGGGATGACTTAATTCCCCCCCTTGCATCCTTGCCTAGAGTGCCTTGCGGGCAGCCATGCCTCGCCATCAGCCGCTCCTAACGGGCAATCATGGCGGACGGGGGAGAGCTCCCAACTCCCGCCAAGCACCTTTGCTACAGACCCGAGACCTTTGGCGCCTGCCGCTGTTGCTTTCCCTTCTGCCCATGCTGCCTCCACGTTTGGAGCTGCCGCTTCTGCGTTTGGAGCACTGCCGCCGTTTGGAGTGCCGCCACCGTTCCAAATGCGCTCCAAACAGTGGCGGCGCTCCAAACGTTGCAGTGGCACGGGCAGAAGGGAAAGCAACAGCAGCGGGCGCCAAAGGTCTTGGGTCTGCAGCAAAGGTGTTTGGTGGGAGTAGGGAGCTCTCTGCGCTTCGCCATGATCACCCGTTAGGAGTGGCTGTGGCGAGGCATGGCTGCCCATGGGGCGCTCCTAACGGCAAGTCCCCCCCACCATTCCCCCCCATTTTGCATGTTTTAAAATAGGCCTAAATTTGGGAGGAGGGGCTTAATTACATTTTATGCCTAGAAAACATGCTGGGTCTTCCTATGGTGGGGGGGCGTATTGTTGGAGAGCACGGTACTTGTTAGACAAGTGAAAAGACAAAAAAGAGAGAAGAGATTGCGGGGTGGGCCTTAGCTTCTTGATTTCTGTTGTGGGTATACAACAGATTAACTAACTTGATGAATCTAACATTTAGTCTACTTATTCAATAGCAGAATGTGAATCTTCATCAAACATCTGCTGCAAACCTGCAATCTTTAAACAAACACTTATACTGGCATTAAACTGCTATATTGTATCAGCAAGTATGGGAAATCTTGGCTTATGCTTCTCACAATGTTAAGAGCTACTGTAGATTTGACATTTTTCAAAAAAATATATTTTTCAGGAAGCAGGATTAACACAAACCAAAAAAGAGGTCTATGCACTTAAAAAATTTACAACTGATTCTATTGCTGATTCTACTTGCACTGTCGCTAAATGCCACATTCCACCCAATGTGGCAATTTTGAGGCATTTTAATGCATTTACACTGTTACTATTGCTCAGGGCACTTGAACTCAACATCAGTCAAAGTGCTAGTTAAATGTGGTCAACTGTTTATATTAAATATCCCTTTTAGTTAAATTTCCAATGATTTCAGATGCTTTTCCAGACATATCTCTGCTATACAGGTACATTTCTTGGGCTGAAAAGAAAAGTGTGAGGCTGAGGAAAGCTTGTCCCCCACTTCAAGATCCAAACAAAAAGAGAGCAAGGACATAGGTTTTTCCCACTATCCAAAAAAATATAATGTTTAATTACTGAATTATATTAAGATTTTAAACAAATCTCTCCTTTTAGTTTTCTCTTTTTTGTAGTGGCTATACTTGTATATCAATGCTGTATATGAGTAACCGAGCTTCTTTCAATTTCTGGATTTACATTTCAGCTAGCTTGGACAAGTAACATATCCTTTTCTGATCTTTTCTTTCTTTAAATGTTATTCGCTGCTCCCAACCCCTGGCCAATAGGGAAAAGTTGTGAAAATCTCCCTTGGTCCTAACCAATAGGAAAAGGGCAAATCCTGCTGCCTCCAGTAAATGCATCACGTTATCTTCAGAGATGTCCTATAGCAGGGATCACCAACCTTTTGGACCCCAGGGACCACCAAACTCATAATTTGAAATCCCAGGGACCATTAACCGGTTCTGTAAGTGTGGCCTAATTTGTGGGTGTGGCTTGGTGGTCATGTGACTGGCTGGGCATGGCTTGTATATAAATATTATAAATATTTGTATAAATATTGAATTTTTTTTTTTAAAAAAGCAACTTTTACCCCAAATCAGGCAAAGCACAGGCAGATCGAGTTGCTCACAGAATCACAGATTCATTCAGAAATCTATCTATCTGCCATTGGCTAGCTCAGTCTGTCACATAAAATTTGCTTGCAAGCAAACTCATAAAATTTGCTAGCAAACAAACTCACAAAATTAACTCACAGCACACTATATGTAAATATTGATTTCTTTTATTAAAAAAGAGCAACTTTATCCAAAATCAGGCAAAGCAGGTAGGCAGATTGAGTTGCTCACAGAATCATTCAGTGATCTATCTATCTGCAATCGGCTAGCTCAGTCTCTCAAATTTGCTTGCCTTGAGTCTGCACTGAATAATAGAACCTTCAGTCCTAAGGAAGGTTCGGCTTTGCTTAAAAGCAGAGCCGAAGATCTAAAGACTAGTTAGAAAGCAAGAAATCCAACCATTTCCTGCTTCCTAGCTAATCTAAATCTCCCGGCACAGCAGAACAGATGATGGTTAGAAAAAGGAAAAATAGCAATTTAGCAGGCAAGCTTGCCAGGTAAGAAGTGAGTGGGTGGGTGGGTTTCCCGTGAGCTATGTGGGCGGTGCAGCTTTGTGTTTCTGTGCAGCCTGGATTAATTGCTTTGGGGGGGTGCTCGGGGGTGCGATTTCTCTGCGGCCCACCAAAATTTTCTCATGGCCCACCAGTTGGTGACCGCTGTACTATATAGCATATGACTTAGCCGAATGTTACAGTCATGTATATATTTAATAAAGATAATCTTTCAATATGATCAAAATCAGGAAAAAAAATCCACATTTTGCACGTACAGTTTAAATGGTGAATTGTAAACAGCTGTTGGGTAAGAATAGGGTATGTATTTATGTTTCAGTAAGCTTTGAAACAACTAGGCAATGAGCACTTATCAAAGAAGCAGACCGCAAGTTAAAACGTTTGATAATTAAAGCAGCATTGTATCTGATATGTTATTAGATAAAGATTTGCAACTTTTTGAGAGAGTATTTATCAAATCATACACCATCAAGCAAACCAGGGCTTAAATACTTCTGCTTTTCATTTTAGCCACTAAGATTGCACATTTCTAATGGTTTATTGAAATAAATCTGATTTCAGGCAATGTGGATAAGTTTATCTTCTGAGGACAACCATATCCTACTTTCAAAAGACTTGGGCAAATAATCAAGAGAGGGTGCTGCAAGAATTATCCTGTCTCCCTCGCAGCATGCTAGTTTGGAGGAACAAGAAAGTTTTTTTTTTTGGGGGGGGGGGGGGTAAGTGAAAATGCAGTATTATAACCACGGGGGGGTTAGGATGGCATCAGAAAGATGAAGTGGTTCTTTCTTCCCTTTTCTCAATGGCCTCATCTCAACTGCAGCAGATATCTCCTAGCAAACTGCCTTGAGAGGGATAATAATCTAACGCTAAGTCTTGAGCCATATGTGAAGAAAAGTGCCTTGTACCTGAAAAAAAAACCCAGTTGAATGTTACCTTGTACTGTTACTACCAAGAGTAGGTTGATGCTACTGCTAAATCTGAGTACTTTGAGCAATGAGGCATTACATTCATTTGATTAAAGTAGGGCAATTAAGCAAGATATTTTATGACTTTTTGGAATGTTTTCCCACATAAATACAGAAGTAACAGAAATTATTCTCTCCAAATCCTATTCTTCTGTCCAACTGATAGCAGCAGAAAAACAGGGTCTGAAATGGAAATATCTGATGTCCTAATATTCTCAGAAAATGCCCAACTCTGAAAGCCTCCAGTGAATATGCAGCACTGTGAAGGCAAGATAACATGGGCCCTTTTGTTTGGCCTCACAGAGTCCCAGTTAGCTAGGGGATCCTGTGTTATGCACCATGTTGGAAATGCTTCATCCACTTGTTTGCTTTTCCTGAATTAAAATGGAAGACACAGTTGAAAATATATAGATACAGAGACTGCATAACCTTACCTTTGGTGGTTTAAACGGATAATCAGATGAAAATGTGATATCCAGAAAAAATACACCACCTTCGTACACAGAACCTGGGGGACCTAGGATAGTAGATCTCCATTCGTAGATGTTATCGCCTTTAGGCCCAGCACTATTAAAATAAGCAAGAGGGAGAAAGAGAGAATGAAAAAAATGAACTTTATGACTTTTTACGATCATTATTCTTGTGAATGGCCTCTGTTGTTCATATATGGCTTGGTGCTTCTTGGTGTGAAGAAACTTGTCCACTATCACTTATGCGTCTGTCAATATATTCAATACAAGGCTCATCTTTGTCTTTTGAAACAGTTAGTTGTATAGTCTTTTGTTTGTTGGTCTCTGTGGGTGCATGGGCCATATATAACTGTCTTAAAGCACAAAGGCTGCCTAATTCAAGGCATATGAAGAGCACTATCCATCTCCCATATTTATAGCCTGTTTTTTGTACAAGGAATTCAGGATGGCCTACATGTTTATTCTTGCAAACTCATTAAATAGATCAGCATAACACACCAAGAAAGCTTCATAGAGGAGAGGATCTGAACCCAAGTCTCTCCAGGAATATTACAACAACATATCATGCTGTATACCTAGATATAGAATGAAGCTTTTCAGAAAATTTATATAAGGATTTTTTTTTTAAAGTTAAGCCTTTATTATCACTTCCATATACTGCTGACAATAATATATAATCCTAAAGTTTCTGGGTATCCATTCCCAGATGGAAATAAATGGAATGACCTTTCTATGATAAAGTAACCTTTATTTCTTGATCTAATACACATACAGTTTTACATGCAATCAGTTGCAAGTAATTTTTGGGGCACCTACTACCTCACGGGTGTCAAACTCAATTGCATCATGTGACATATTGCAACATTTTTTACCTTTGCGGAGACGGAGTGGGCGTGGCCTGCAAGTGATGCATCCAGCCTATGTGCCACCAGTCTGACATCCTTGTACTACCCAGTGTTTCCCACTTAGTCTAACAGAATTCCCTACTGGGCCTGGGTCTTCTGAACTGCAACCCCAAATATCCAGAGACCCATCAAACTGTGGAAGATTCCATTACAAATATTTCCCAAAGCTCCTAAAAGTTGTTCACTCACTTCCTGAGAAGTGTTGAAGCCTGAAATTTGCCGGTTCTCAAAATGACTCATACTCTGCCAACTTTGCCAACGGTATTGGTTTTTAAAAATATAGACTGACATTTTGGTGTCCAATATTTATAGTGTTCCAGGCACACACTTATGTAAGAAGGGAGGGAGTGGGATAAGGAATTATTAGAAGAAAACAGAGGTGATGACACCATTGTTCAAATAAACTTCCTCTTCAAAGGCCAGTTTATGCAGAAGAATTACCGTTTATAACTATGACTGTGAAAGAACTGAAAAGGCTACAAATTTAAATTAAACCTATTTAAGAGCTTCCGCCCTTTTATAAAACCAGAATGTGTCTTGTTTATCTTCCTTCCTTCCTATTCTACACTTCTCAGAAAAAAACTCTGGCAAACGTTTGACAACCCCACCCCCCCTTTTCTTAAAAAGAAAGTGTGCAATTCAAATACTAATCTTGAATGGAAATCTCAAAAGACGTGTTTGTTGTTATTATTTAAAATATAGGACTATGTCTATTTCCACAGCTATACTTCTCCTTGATCTCTTGTCCCCCATAAGCTTCTACCCAACCATCGATTTGCTCTACAGAAGAGCTGGGAAACAGCACAGGGGTGCAAGATACAAACACTTCTTCCTTCTGGAAGCGACCGAATAGAATAAAAAAATGAGAAGTAGGAAAAAACAGCCCAGAGAAAGATAATGGAAGTTCATTTCCCTATCAGAGCAAAATAATTACAAGGTTATGTCTTTGTAAGACACTAGGAACAGAGGCATCCACCATGGAGATGAGAGATATCAAGAAAGTAAAACTGGAATCACAACTGTGCAATTAAAATGTCATCCCTTTTTTACATGTGTTTGTACCTGCAACATGTATAAAAAAAGGGGGGTTGGCTGAGGTTTGATTGCACAGTCATAGCTGCTACCTGGGCTTTTTTTCACACACACAGACACACACTGCACCGACCCTTCACTATAAATTGAGCTCAGCTTATTTACAGCTCCTCCTTTATACTTCTTAGTAATATTCTTTTCGACAAAAGTTATTTCATAGAAAGGGGATTTGAGTTTCTCAGTTGCTGAAAGGTTGTAGCTAAACTAGTTGTACACTAAGAGTAAGCTAGAGGGTGGAAAAATGACTGGATTACTGCACACAAACACATACACACACACACACACACACACACACACGAACACTGAAAATGGGACAAGAAGTAAAGAATTCTTCCCTCAGATGAGGAGACATAGGTCCACAGCAATAAATTTGAAAATACAGAGTGTGTCCTTTTCTGCACCCATGATTTGACCAGTTTGAGATGATAACAGTCGAACGTGTATCTGGTAATATTTCAGATGATTAAATTTGGTCTTTTAATCAGTATCTCTTTTACAATACAAATGATGCAAACAAAAATTAGGAAAATTCTGACTGAGAGGAGGCAATATGGCAGAAGTCTATATAACTGATAGCATTCACGTATCAATGCATTGCCATAAAATTTCTTTTTTTTTTTAACAGAAACAATACAAAAAGTAGGAGCAATACAGAAAATATTTAAAACTCCTGCACAGGTCATCGGGTTTTCCTAATTAACTCCTGACATCCATTAAGCATATAGCTATTAATTAGCATCAGGCTTGGAAGTTAAATTTCTCTGGAACAATTCAATTTTGGCACAGGTTTCCTTAATGGCTCTTTTATAGCTTAATGCTCCTATATCATCTGTCAGTTGCCTTTTCTTCAAACACCTCTAATAGCTGGATGCAATTCAGTCAATTTAATGAAACACAGAATTGACTTAGCAACATATTTCAGCCAAAGTAATCAGTCACAATTAAGGTTACTGCCTTAAGCTGTGTGCCAAACTACCTGCTAATCACTCAGGTCAGAACAAGGGCATCTATCAATTAAATAGTCGATCATCTAAAAGCAATAACTCCTAAATTACTATTTACAATCGTTTATTATATTGCCCATTACTGTTGTTGTAACATTATAAAGCTTGCCCACTGAGAGGGAGGATCTACTGTAACATTTCAGGTAGTCTGGCCCTATAGACCAGCCTTTCCCAACTACCACTCTTCATATACGCGGGATTATCATTCCCATGCTGACTGGGGAGTTATGGAATTATTATTTTTTAAATAAAGTTTTATTGAGTTTTAACAAAACAAATAAAACATCTTATTTGAGTACAGCATCATTCCAGGTTATCATATTACCATACAGACACAATTTCATATGCATAGTCATCTTATGTATTCAACTTCATATCTTATTACTCTTTTTCCAGCTTCTCACTATTTCTCCCTTTACTTCTCTTAATTTTCTTTTATGGTTATCTCATTTTCTTCTTATTCAATTATATTTCTTTTAACTAAAACATAGCAAAAAGAATATATATATATGGTTATCTCATTTTCTTCTTATTCAATTATATTTCTTTTAACTAAAACATAGCAAAAAGAATATATATATATATATATTTTCAATATCTATCAATCTTTGAGAACAATTGAAATGTTTCCCTCCCTTGTTCATTATTACTTAACTGTTAATAAGCATACCATTGGATAGTCATACAGTTTTATCTTATAAATTATTTACTATTAAGCAAAATAATTATTCAAATTCATTCTAATAACTGGTATAAATTTCCTTATAAATCTTTCACATTTCTTTTCAATATTTTATCAATCTTTAGAAACAATTGCAATGTTTCCCTCTCTTCTTTATTATTGCATTAATTATAAACATACCATTACATAACAATAGTTTTATCTCATAGATTACTTATTTCATTTCTAACTCATTACAGTATTCTACGGTATTCTACTGTCACAACACTATCTTTTGTACCTTTGCAGAATCCTCACTTTTAACTAAATTTAACCATTGTCTCTGTTTTCTAGCTGAGCAAATACCTTTAATCCTAGTATGTTTCCCCTTTTTCTTTATTTCCTGTTTTTGTCCCTCATAAGTTCTTTCCCTTTCTATCTTCCCCCCTTTTCCTCATCCCCTTTTTATACCCTTCTCTCTCTAATTTTCCCTTCTGTAGTTTTCTTTTCTGCTTCTCCTTGCTTATTATACTTTTTTTCAGACTATTTTTCTTTTTGGCTGTTCCCTTTGATCTCAAACTTTTAACTCCTTTCCCCCGCTTTCCCCTTATTACCACACTTTGCATTATTTGATCATTGAAAATGGCTTCTTCTTTGTCCCTCCCTTCTTGCTCTTGAAGCTTTTCCTTTTGCTTTTCATAGTTCAGGATCTCCATTTCAAAAAATTCAGATACGAAGCCAAAGGATCTTCCTCCCCTTTCGGCATCTTGTTTCTGTTTTTTAAGACTCATCTTCAGTTCCTCCAGGAGTGATGGCATTTAAACACTTTTGACCAATCACCTGATTGACTTTAAGTAAAAACAGAAAAAGAAAGAAAAAACCAATGCCAAAAGCTTTTTTTAAAATCACCAAATGATCCCAGACTGTTCCTTCTTGTTTCTTTCCTTTACTTTTCCTTTCCGTGGGTTACTGTATCTTTTAATAAGATTTCAGTTACAATGTATCCTCGGGAGTCTTTTCAAAGTTTTACTGTTAATCCTCTTTACAGGCATGATATTCCCCTCTGAAAAAAAAATCGGGGCCGGCCAAAAGAGGCCCCCCGCTGCGCGCCAAGAAATCGCACACACAACACCAACGCCACACACCTTTCCTTTCCAGCCGGTCAGGTGTGGATCAGCTCCGGAGCTGGGCAGCCGTTTCCCTGGTGGTGGGGCCAAGGCCGCCGCCCGGGGAGCGCCCGCTGCTTTCCCTCGCCAGGGCCGGGTGGTGGCGTGTTGCACGGAGGCTGGTTTGTGGCTGCCCAGCTCCCTTTTCCTGCCGCTCAGCGGCCTCCGCTCGCACCGCCTGAGCTCTGCTCAGGTATCCGGCTGGGGCTGTCAGGAGTTGCTACCGCTGGCGCAGCTCCGTGCGGCTCCAGTCCTGCGTTGCCTCGGTA